GCTGACTAGAGAAAGCTCCTAACTAGAGAAAGCTGCTGACTAGAGAAAGCTGCTGACTAGAGAAAGCTGCTAACTAGAGAAAGCTACTAACTAGAGACAGCTCTCAACTAGAGAAAGCTGCTGACTAGAGAAAGCTGCTGACTAGAGAAAGCTCCTAACTAGAGAAAGCTGCTGACTAGAGAAAGCTGCTGACTAGAGAAAGCTGCTGACTAGAGAAAGCTACTAACTAGAGACAGCTCTCAACTAGAGAAAGCTGCTGACTAGAGAAAGCTGCTGACTAGAGAAAGCTGCTGACTAGAGAAAGCTGCTAACTAGAGAAAGCTACTAACTAGAGACAGCTCTCAACTAGAGAAAGCTGCTGACTAGAGAAAGCTGCTGACTAGAGAAAGCTGCTGACTAGAGAAAGCTGCTAACTAGAGAAAGCTACTAACTAGAGACAGCTCTCAACTAGAGAAAGCTGCTGACTAGAGAAAGCTGCTAACTAGAGAAAGCTACTAACTAGAGACAGCTCTCAACTAGAGAAAGCTGCTGACTAGAGAAAGCTGCTGACTAGAGAAAGCTGCTGACTAGAGAAAGCTGCTAACTAGAGAAAGCTACTAACTAGAGACAGCTCTCAACTAGAGAAAGCTGCTGACTAGAGAAAGCTGCTAACTAGAGAAAGCTACTAACTAGAGACAGCTCTCAACTAGAGAAAGCTGCTGACTAGAGAAAGCTGCTGACTAGAGAAAGCTGCTAACTAGAGAAAGCTACTAACTAGAGACAGCTCTCAACTAGAGAAAGCTCCTGACTAGAGAAAGCTGCTGACTAGAGAAAGCTGCTGACTAGAGAAAGCTCCTGACCAGAGAAAGCTGCTGACTAGAGACAGCTACCTTAGCCAGCTCTTTACCAAATTTAGACTCAAATGGTGATATTTGGACTGAATGTATGGGGACATTGGGTGTTGAATGTTTACGGAGCGAATCATATAACTCCATTCATGATCTCCGGCTTCTACACATCTTTTCTCTTCTCTACATATTTTCGATTGAAAAAATTGTATAATGATGCAGAGGTTTGCGGATTTTTTTTGCTTTTTGCTTAAAACTTGAAAACCCACTCTTCCTAACGCACTGAACACTCAAAAGTGTATCGTTTCTTTGAACTCAGTGCACTTTGAGGGAATTCAGTGCACTAGAAAGGGTGTGTTCAGCTTAAAAAAACAGCTTTCCGAACTCCAAGCTTTGACAGGAATCAAAATTCATAAATGCGAACTTTCAGAACCCTAACCGCACCACTGTCACCGCCCGAATTGTCAAAAATGTTGATGAGAAGAAGGAGGAATGATTTGCAGGACAAATTTACATTTAAATTCTTTCAATTTATTCAGTTATTTCCTTGAAAATCGCCGATTTTTCCTTAAATTTGAGAAAAGTTTTTAAAATTATTTTTTTTTAATTTTTTTTATGAAATTTCCCTTACATGCGTTCCAGGATAATGAAAAATAAGAAAATATTTGTGAAATTTCCATTTTAATACCTCATTCTAGTGCCGAAAGCTTTTCAGTGCACTACCCTAAAAGTAGCTGAACAAAAAGCTCTACTAAAACTGTATTCTTTCAAAAGAATACTCTAGCTTTCCACTATTTCATTGAAAATTCTTATTTCCTTATTGTATTTTGAGTAGACTACTCGGCAAATATCTTGAAAGAAAAGTACAGTACAGAAAAGTACAGAAAAGTACTGTACTTTTCTTTCAAGATACAGTACAGTACCAGAAAAGTACAGTACAGAAAAGTACGGAAAAGTACTGTACTCTTTTGGAAAAAGAAAATTACAGTACTTTTTCTTGTGAAATTTTTAAATGTTCAACTTTTTTCTCATTTTTACTTTCTCGATCTCTGTGCATTCCAGAATGTGCATTTATTTGAAAATCAAAAAAAAAAGTCTCCATAAAAGTCTCCATAAAAGTTTCGATAAAGTTTTATTCGCCGTTTGCCTACCGGAAAAAAAGCTGTACACGTTTATCGTAATCTACAATAAAATATTTACATTTTCAACAAATTTTACCTGATTTTTATCGTTCTTTTTTTTTTGTTAGGGATATAGAAAATTTTGTGGGAATAGAGGAATTGTAGGAATAGAGGAATTGTAGGAATAGAGGAATTGTAGGAATAGCGGGATTGTGGGAATAGTTTTCTCTAATAGCACGTGTGGCTGACTGGTTAAGTGTCTTTTATCTTAATCGGAAGGTCGAGGGTTCGAACCCCACATGCGACATGGTCACCCCTTCGGATTTCCTTTCCCTTCGGGTTGAGAGGTTTTCTGGAGGGCAGTCTGGTGGTTGTGGCCCCAGTTCTTTAAAGTGACAAGCCACTCCTTCATCGTCATCTTCCCTTCACCACCAAAAAAGCTATTTAGTTCCCCATTGAGATTAGGGTTAGGGAGCCGTCTGTCATGACGTGGGTTAAGTTAAGATATAGCCTAGTATTGTGTGTGTCGTTGTATTGTGATTGATATATTTCGTGTATGCGATAAATTCACCACTGGTAGCCCCAGTCGGTATTTTTAATAGTAGTGCTCCCTGAGTCCCTGAATTCCTTGAAATCTCACCGCTTATCAGAACCGCTTAGCAGAACCTATTGATATTGGGTCGGAAAATGTAGCTGATGAGATCTAGTGGGGGATTAGAGGGTTGAGCTTCTGGGAAAGCTTGGAAACCGTAAGCTAGACATTAACTAGACATTAACTCGACTCCCTGGGGTGCACTACTATTATAGGTATATCCATGGCTTCCCCCCGAATATCCGGTTACTCCCGAATGTCCGGTTTGAATAAGAAGCCAATACATTCATAGTAAATACCGTATTCTCTAATACCAATTCACCCAGAGTGCCTAAATTCCTCAAAATCTTGAGAACCACTTATCAGAACCTATTGATATGGGGTAAAAATGTAGCTGATGAGATCTAGTGGGGGATTAGAGTGTTGAGCTTCTGTGCAAGACTTGGAAGTCGTAAGCTAGACATTATCTAGACATTAACTCCCGTAAATACTGTAATAGTACCCCACCCCGATAATGACGTTGCGGAGTGTTGTGTAGTCTAGTTTTGAACGAGCTTTTCTCGACACTGGTTTAAGCTACAATTGTAGCTTAAACCAGTGTCGAGAAAAACTCGTTCAAAGCTAGACTACGCAACGCTATGTAATAGTAGCGCCCCCCCTAAAATGATGGTCGGTCGCGTAGTCTAACTTTAAACACATCTTTCTTGCCACCTGTTTCTGCTACAATGCTCGTTTAGGTATCAAAAAATAGCTGAGATTCAGGGCTATTTTTTGCTACCAAAGACGCATTTTTTGAAAGTACGGGTGCTTTAAAAAAAGTGAAAAAAGGTGCGGAGTGTTTCGTAGTCTAGCTTTCAACGAGTTTTTCTCGACACTGGTTTATGCTACGATGCTCGTTTTGGTATCAAAAAATAGCTGAGATTCAGGGCTATTTTTTGATACCAAAGCGCGCATCGTAGCGTAAAGCAGCGCGGAGAACGGGATGTTTAAAGTTAGACTACGCAACAATCCCGAAAAAACGCGTTTTTCTCGACACTGGTTTATGCTACAATGTTCGTTTTGGTATCAAAAAATAGCCCTGAATTTCAGCTATTTTTTGATACCAAAGACGCATTTTTTGAAAGTACGGGTGCTTTGAAAAACAATGAAATACTAAAAAACTTTTGCGACTACACGACTGTACGAGGGGGGTGGGGTCCAATTACAGTATTTACGGTAAGCATTAACTAGGCATTATCTAGACATTAACTAGACTCCCTAGATGCACTACTATTAGAGAAAAGAGATAGAAATTTAAAAAAAAATATTTTTAGAGAACAAAACATTTTTTCACAAAAAAAAACAAAATTTGAGCAAATTTTTGGAAAAAAAACTTTCAATTAAAAAGAAAATAAGCAAGAAATTGCGAAAAATTGCACCGAATCGCGGAAAAATTTGGAGAGCAATAAAGGGATTTGCGGATTTGCGAATTTGCGGAAACCGTTTATCGAAAAGGCACTAGAATATGGGGGGAAATGAGTTTGACGAGATTTTCATGAGGAAAGTGTGAGCTTTGCGGAAAAGTTTCGAGGGTTTTCGGCGAAACTGGAATGCACAGGAGGGCACAAGGGCGATTTGGAGAGGGGAGGGATCGACAGAATTTCCTTTGCTCAACGCGATCGAGTTCAAGCGAAAATCTCGGCCTCAGTCTGTGCAATCGAGTTTTCACCGCTATGAATATCAACTATGGATGTCACATCGACTTTTGAAAAAAGAATTTCCTCGGATTCATGTGATTTGAGATGAGATCATCAATGGGGGGAAGATTGGGGAGGAAGAAGGGAAGAATGGGGAGAGGAAGAAGGATAAGAAAGAGTGGGAAGAGAAAACACTTGCATGGACTTGCTTTGAATGCGAAAGACTTCAATTTTGAAGGAAATATGGAAGAAAAAGGAGAAAAATCGAGCTAAGCCGAATCGAGTGGATGAGAACCGTTTTCTTGTTTTCTGAAATGGAAATGAGCAAGAAAAAAAAGAAATCAGACAATGACTATCGTTGAAAAGAGATTTAGATGCAAATTCGGGATTTAGATGCAAATTTTAGACTAATGTATTGGATACGGTAGAGTTAGAAATTTTAAATCAAATATTTCAATGATCTGAATGGTAGACCAATCATCGTGCGTTCCAGGACGATCAATTTGGCTATTTGGACGGCGATCGACTGGGTGGTTTCGTTTCTTGGATGTCGGATGTGAGTTGCAACGGATTCACGGCAGTTTGGGGTGTCTAGAATTGAATCTAATGTCAAAAAGCTCTAATCTGGAAGTCAGGCAACAAGAAAATGAAGAAAAATATTAGATATTTAGCTATTAGAGATATTTTAGATTACTGTATTGGATACGGTAGAGTTAGAAATTTTAAATGAAATATTTCAATGATCTGAATAGCAGACCAATCGTCGTGCGTTCCAGGACGATCAATTCGGCGATTTGGACGGTGATCGACTGGGTGGTTTTGTTTCTTGGATGTCGGATGTGAGTTGCAACGGATTCACGGTGGTTTGGGGTGTCTAGAATTGAATCTAATGTCAAAAAGCTCTAATCTGGAAGTCAGCCAACAAGAAAATGAAGAAAAATATTAGAAATTTAGCTATTAGAGATATTCAGTTATGCAGAGTTGCTATTTCTACCGTATTCTGACGCAATACCGTATCCAATTACAGTACGATAAAGCTATCTCACCAATGAAACGTCTGCCACCATTCCTGTGGTCTTTTGAGGCTCTGTAGGGGATATTTGGCGATCATTGCTGGGGGTGATCAATGCTGGAGGTGATACTGTAGACATGGATGGTGGATGTGGATCGGGTGGCTAAATATGCTCATCAATAACTCTACTGACATCCAGATCGCTCAAAAATCCCAACAAATTTAATCTTTATCTTCGTATTTCCAAAGATTCTCACAATCGCTCGATTCCTCTTTCGCTTCACGCAAAAGGCGTACTTCCCGCTGCGGACAATCGTATAGAAATGCGTCGAGTAGTCTATCTGAAAGTTTTTAGATGAAAAATGAAGTACATAGCTTTTTAGATATTGTCTCAACGTACTGTACCGTACTCAGTATACTGTACTTTCAAAAAAATGTCGAACCCTATTTCTGTATCGTCCAAGATCCCCCGTGCATTCCAGAAACGCTATTCCCCAATTTGTAGCTTCTAGAACCCCAGCCGTAGCCCTTAAATCTCGGCAAAGTCATTTCCCCAGCCACCGCTCGTAAATAGTGATATTTATGGGGAAAGGGTCACTTTGGGGGACAACTATGGACATCACAGAGGCTATTCAGCGTGTATTTCATTGAGAAAAGCTTATCACTGATGAGATTGGGCTGGGCGAGGAGGCTAAGACTGGCGCCTTGCTTCTCTCTTCGTCATTTCTGGCTCCAAACTTGCCCCTAATCAAGAGCGGACACAAACATCACTCTGGAGTGAAATGCGGGAAATGAGAAAAAGAAAATACGGTAGATAAGCGCTTGAGAGTGATTTTTAAAGTAAATATGATGGTAAAAATGGATCCAGGGTATCTACAGTAATCCCAGCACTATCCAGTAACCCCAGCACTATCCAGTAACCCCAGCACTATACAGTAACCCAGCTATACAGTACCCCAGCTATACAGTAACCCAGCTATACAGTACCCCAGCTATACAGTAACCCAGCCATACAGTAACCCAGCTATACAGTACCCCAGCTATACAGTAACCCAGCTCTACAGTACCCCAGCTATACAGTAACCCAGCTATACAGTAACCACTCTACAGTAACCCAAGATCTACTTACTATTTCGCCATCTTTAAATTACCTAAAAAAAGCCCAAAAATCAAGGCCTGGATGTCCCGATTTTTTTTCCCTACAATATCCCAACTAAATCCGATTTTATTATCTAGCATGACATCCAGCATTTACAAATCTTCAACTAAATCTGAAAAATTACAATTAGAATTTTGTAGAAATGCTCATTCTCATAACGCTCCCTAAAAATTTTTGAGAAATCAATTTTTCCACAATCTAAACCTCGCAATAGCTAGACTGCGTTCCAGGATGACGTTTCCATCAAAAAAAGAGAGCTATTTCGAAATCCTTTTCTCTACTAAATTTGGAAATCGAGATTTGGGCGTTTCAAAGACAAGAAATGAATGAAAATGACGTCAAGATTTTGAAATGTTTGTTTGAGTCATAAAATTATTGTTTAAAAGTAAATATTGACATTTAATGAAGTGTTTCCGGTCTAGGAGAGACGTGCTTTCAATAAAATGGTCAGGAAAACATCTCTGGCATCTTTTTTGCATCCCCTTTGCAGAGATGGGCCATAGGACGGAGAGGGAGACGGTTTAGCACATTCCCAGCACATTTAGCACACTCAAAGCACATCCCCAGCTCATGATCAAGACCAACTTCAAACTTGGGTAATTAAACCGGGAAAACCGGTCTCTCTTGTCCTATCTGGAAGGGCCGTGTGCCAGATGCTGTTTTTTCTTACGAAGCACATGAAAGGTACACACAATGTTCTTTTTTGGCTACGGTCTTTACCCAAAAGGAATTCTTCTTTTTCTATTTCAACCGTCTTTCAGAATCTCATTCTGTAATCTGGGATCTCATTTCAACAGTTTCATTCGTCTGCAAATTCAACGATTCAACACTGAGATCTTCTTGCATTCAGTTTCCGGAGACGCCTCCTTTTTCTATACTTTTACAGGGTCTGGTGAACAATAAGCAACGTCAACAATAATCCAAACTTGGGTAATTAAACCGGAAAAGAAGGGGTCTGTCTCGCTATGTGGAGGGACCGTATGCCAGATGCCGTTTTTTCTTAGAAAGCACATGAAAGGTACGCACAGCAGGGACTCCGGCAAGGGTCTCTTTTTTGACTTTTTGACACTTTTACAGACTCTCGTGAGCAATACTCCAAACTTGGGTAATTAAACCGAAAGATTATGTCCCTGTCTCCCTATGGGGAAAGGCCGTGTGCCAGATGCTGTTTTTTCTTACAAAGCACATGAAAGGTACGCACAAGGACAAGACAGGTCAAAATTCGAGGTAAAAATTGGGTCTAATAAAAAGAAATGTTCAAAAATGTTTCCAAAACTAGCCAGAAATAAAACTGGCTTCAAAAATTAGTCAAAAGGCAGAAGGTAGGCAAATTTTAGGCAAAAGTTCAAAAAATAGGCTTTTGTATGCAAATTTTCGAGTATACTGTACTAGATTGGTGCTGAAATTGGTAAACGTTCTCTTTCTAGTGCACTGAATTCTTGATTTTCTTGCAGAAAACGTTTAGCTTTCAGCTCAAAAAAACAAAGAACTCAGTGCCCCAGAAAGGGTGCGTTTACAAAGTCAAGCACAAATTATGGAAACACTTTTCCACTCACCGTCATTTCGACCATTTTGTGCTTGGGTTTAATGGCGGATTTTGGCCTCTCGAGGTACAGTAACTCCTTGACGACTCTTGCTGTGTGCTCAGAATTCGACAATTCACCATCAGACTGAAAGGATTATTAAATTTTGGGTATATCATCCGAAAAAAAGGAAACGAAAAGCTTGACTTAGTAATCGAACTTTGAGCTTAAATTTCTTGGCATTGGGTTATCCAATTTAAATGTTCTTTATATCATTGAATGCGCCAAGTCTTTCTCTATCGATTGGTATAAAAACTATTTCAATTGGACAATCCAGCACCAAGATATTTGAGCTTGACTAGGTGCATAGGAAATTCGGATTTCAACATTTTCATCAATTTCAAACGATAGAAAACAGAGATCGATGTTGTAAATTGTTATAACTGTTATAAACTATTCAAAAGCTGTAAATCTCCTCTACAAAATAGGCTAAAATGTGTTTCAATTGATCGAAGCATTGAAGAGATTTGGATGGTGAAATGCGAGTGACCAAAAAAGGGGAATTTTTCACTCCCCAGCCTCCCCACTTTCACAAGAGTTCCCTTTTGACTAAATAGTGGAAAATGTTCTAAAATATCAATAAAACCGCTTTAAAATATCATTAAAATACTTAAGAGTTGGGATCATTTCATTGAAAAACTTTGTTTTTACAAAATTTTTGTGAAAAAGTCAATTTTTTGAGAATTTTAAGGATTTTGAACTTGCGCTTTATCTAAATTTCTGTAAATGCATTTCCATTAGACTTTCTTAATCAACTCATCTATAGTTATCCTTTTTTTAAACGTTCAATTTTCAGAAGCTAACTCTATTTTGACCACATTAAACTTGTCCATTGGCAATGCAACTTTAAGCTCGAATTTCTTCGTGCTGGATTGTTCAATTGAAATATTGGGTTGATGCATAATTATCCGGACTTCTTTTTGCGTGCTTGTATCTTTTTTGTTTTGAAAGCTTTTTGTCTATTTCTTTTTTTTAAAATATTCGTTATTCTTTAGTGAACAAAATGCGTGTCGACAATCATATCCATCTTCGCCATATCATGCTCTACCACTTCGAAAAGGGATGGTCTGCCGCAGAGTCGTTTCGCGATCTCAAAGAACTTTTTGGTCAAGGAACAATTGGACGTGCAACAGTTTATGAATGGTTCGATCGTTTCAAGTCCGGTAACACAAGTGTTGATGATGAACCAGGAAGAGGACGGCCATCAGAATTCGATGACAAGGCACTTCTGGAAGCCGTTGAAGAAGACGAAAGCCTGACAACCAGAATGCTGGCAGATGAATTCAATGTTGACCAGCAACGAAACGAGGAAGCACCGTTTTTGAAGAATCTCGTCACAGGCGATATCATGGCTGTTGTTCAAGAACCTCAAGAGAAAGAAAGTCTGCGTGTCGCCAGGTGTTTCACCTAAAGGAATACCGAAAGATGTCCACTGTAAGAAAGCAATGTGGTGTGTATGGTGGGACAGAAGCGGAATCATCCACTGGGAAATCATCTCTAACGGCATCTGTTATTGGTGGAATGACGATGATGAACGTGAGCAATGGCGAATTCCAGACAAAAATGGCAAGAAGCAATTGAACATCAATAGTGACGTCTACTTGGCACAACTTGAACGCTTACATGCTGCAATTCAGGCACGAAGACCGCGCAAAAAGAACAACATCGTCTTTCACCACGATAACGCACGTCCGCACGTTGAGCGCCATGTCGTCGAATCCATCGCTAGTAAGGGCTGGGATCTTCTTCCACACCCGCCATATTCTCCTACTGAAGCCCCAACGGACTACCACGTCAATCGATCGCTCAAAAATTGGCAAACAAATAAGATCTACAACGATTTGGATGACTTGATAGACGATGTTAAAGCGTGGATTGCCTCCAAAGATCGTTTATTCTTCGCTCGTGGAATCGATCGTCTTCCAAGCAAATGGCAATCAGTTATTGATGTAGGCGGTGAATATGCTCCAGAATAATCAATTAAACATATTTTTCTAACTATTTATGTTATTTTTTGTTAAATAAAATCATTTATAAAAGAAGTCCGGATAATTATGCATCAACCCAATAGTTTTTGTACCAATCAATAGAGGAAGACTTGGCGAATTCAATGATACCAAGAACATTTAAATTGGATAACCCAATGCCAAGAAATTTAAGCTCAAAGTTCAATTACCAATCACAAAGCGGCGGAGCATGTATCAAATATCCGAGAATCCTTTAAATCTTATATATAGTTATCCTTTTTTTTAAATCTTCAATTTTGGGAAGCTAACTCTATTTTGACCGCACTAAACTTGTCCCTAAAGTGACTCGATTCCTTTTTTTGGTCACTCGCATTTCACCATCGAAATTTCTTCAATGCTTCGATCGATTGAAACACCTTTTAGCCTATTTTGTAGAGGAGATTTACAGCTTTTAAATAGTTTATAACATTGTTTATAACATTTATAACGATTCTAATTTATAACAACAGGTTTCTATCGTTGGAAATTTATGGAAATGTTGAAATCCGAATTTCTTATTCATTTACCTAATAATTAAATCAAATCTCAAAAATTACTAAAAAAATTTTTGATTCTTCGCTTTTTTTAGATCATTTACCAGGATAAGAAAGTGATGAAGGGACTCAAATTAAGCTTTGCTTTGCTTTGCTTGGAGCTTTGCTTTGCTTTGCCTTGAAGCTTTGCTTGCTTTGCTTGCTTTGCTTGCTTTGCTTGCTTTGCTTGCTTTGCTTGCTTTGCTTGCTTTGCTTGCTTTGCTTGCTTTGCTTGCTTTGCTTGCTTTGCTTGCTTTGCTTTGCTTGCTTTGCTTGCTTTGCTTTGCTTGCTTTGCTTGCTTTGCTTGCTTTGCTTGCTTTGCTTGCTTTGCTTGCTTGCTGCTTGCTTGCTTTGCTTTGCTTGGTGCTGCTTTGCTTCTTGCTTTGAGCCTTGCTTTGCTTTGCTTGCTTGCTTTGCTTTGTTTGCTTTGCTTGCTTTGCTTGCTTTGCTTGCTTTGCTTGCTTTGCTTGCTTTGCTTGCTTTGCTTGCTTTGCTTGCTTGCTTTGCCTGCTTTGCTTGAGCCTTGCTTTGCTTTGCTTGGCCCCAGCCTTGCTTGCTTTGCTTGCTTGCTTTGCTTGCTTTTGCTGCTTGCTTTGCTTGCTTTGCTTGCTTTGCTTGCTTGCTTGCTTTGGCTTGCTTCTTGCTTGCTTTGCTTGCTTTCTTCTTTCTTGCTTTGCTTGCTTTGCTTGCTTTGCTTGCTTGCTTGCTTTGCTTGCTTTGCTTGCTTTGCTTGCTTTGCTTGCTTTGCTTGCTTTGCTTGCTTTGCTTGCTTTGCTTGCTTTGCTTGCTTTGCTTGCTTTGCTTGCTTTGCTTGCTTTGCTTGCTTTGCTTGGCTTTGCTTGCTTTGCTTTGCTTGGCTTGCTTTGCTTGCTTTGCTTGTTTGCTTTGCTTGCTTTGCTTGCTTTGCTTGCTTTGCTTGCTTTGCTTGCTTTGCTTGCTTTGCTTGCTTTGCTTGCTTTGCTTGCTTTGCTTGCTTTGCTTGCTTTGCTTGCTTTGCTTGCTTTGCTTGCTTTGCTTGCTTTGCTTGCTTTGCTTGCTTTGCTTGCTTTGCTTGGAGCTTTGCTTTGCTTTGCTTGGAGCTTTGCTTTGCTTTGCCTTGAAGCTTTGCTTGCTTTGCTTTGCTTTTCTTTGCTTGAAGCTTTGATTTGCTTTGCTTTGCTTTGTTTGAAGCTTTGCTTTGTTTTGCTTGGAGCTTTGCTTTGCTTTCTTTTCCTTTCCTTTGCTTTCCTTTGCTTTGCTTTGCTTTGCTTTGCTTTACTTTGCTTTACTTAGGCTATGCTTGAAGCCTTGCTTTGCTTTGCTTTGCTAGAGAAAGCTTTGCTTTCTTGCTTTCTTGCTTGAAGCTTGATAATCCCTTTTCCAGGTAAATCTTTTCCTTTTTGCTTATTTAAGCAAAACGCTTAAGAAGCACTGAGCAATGAGAACTGACGCTATCAAGTTATTCAACTCTATCAAGCTATGCAATGAGAACAGACTCTATTCAGCTATTCAATTTATTTAGATTGAGTAAATGAAAGGAAAATAAACAGAAAAATGATTATCCATTATCCATTTACCTTTATGATCGCTCCAGTCTCATCAATGACAATGTATCCCAAACGATCTTGAATTTTCTCGAGAAATGGAAATGTTTGACTCATCTGATGAACTAAAAAAGCAAATTTTTGGCTGAAAACTGAAAGAAAAGAGAGATTTCAGAGATCTAACGAAATTTCAAGGTAAAAAATGAGCTTTTCGACAAACTTTTAGTGAATAGCTCTTTTCTGGATGGCAGGGAAGAGAAAGAAAGAAAAAAAAGGTGAAAAAAAGCGTTTCAAAAAAAATTCGAAAGTGAGCATTTGCCTTGGTGTTGGATCAGAACATGAAATTTGCATATATTTAAATTTATACATATATTAAATGCTAATTTCCTTGTGTGCGTTCCAGGATAATCATTTTTAAGTTTTAAAATGTAAAATCTTAAATGCAAATGGCTAAAATGAAGTCGAAGTCATTTCTGCGACTCTCTCGACTTTAAGAATGACATTTATTGGTCATTATGGAAGATTTTTGGTGAAAATTGGGCAAAATTGGGCAAAATTTTTTCGGAGGAGAAAATTATAAGCAATATCGAAGGCATTTTATGAGAAAAGGATGAAAAAAGAGAGAAGGAGGAGCGGTGGACAAAGTACAGTCCTGGAAAATCAAGAATTCTTTAAAGTCTTATCAAAAATTGGTGCAATGCGTTCCAGAATGAGCACAAGTTATGAGAAAATGGTGAAAAGAGGGAAATTGGGCGAGAAAAACGGTCAATCTCGAAGTCTTGAAGATGGAAATTTTTTGATTGCTTTTTTAAACGTTCTAGCACCAAAAATGGGAACTGTGCATTCCAGAATGGCTATTAATCTTATAAAATTTTATTGTTGATGTACAATGGAACAAGAAATTCAGCCATTCTCGAATCAGTTGCAGGGCAACGCCCAAAACGTATCTTTTAAACTTTCTAGCACCAAAAATGGGAACTGTGCGTTCCAGAATGGCTATCTATATTATAAAATTTTGTTGTTGATGCACAATGGAACAAGAAATTCAGCCAATCTCGAATCAGCTGTAGCACAACACCAAAAACGTATCTTTTAAACTTTCTAGCACGAAAAATGGGAACTGTGGGTTCCAGAAGAGCTGTTAATCTTAGAAAATTTTGTTGTTGATGTACAATTGAACAAGGAATTCAGCCAGTCTTGAATCAACTACAGGACAACACCCAAAACGTATCTTTTAAACTTTCTAGCACCCAAAATGTGAACTGTGCGTTCCAGAATAGCTGTTAATCTTATAAAATTTTGTTGTTGATGTACAATGGAACAAGAAATTCAGCCATTCTCGAATCAGCTGTAGGACAACACGGAAAAAAGGTCAAGGCAGACTTTTAAAAAGTCTAACAAGGACTGTGCGCTCCAGAACGACGAGTAGTAAGGCAAAATTTTTCATTGATCAAAAATGAAACCCAAATTCGCCTCATTCTCAAAACAAGGTCCGCATGACCAGGCTCACACGGGTTCTCATACCGTAAATGGTGAAAAAGAGAGAAAGAGACCGAAATGAATCGCATGACTTCATGGAAATGGACTCTCAACTCTGAGAAAAGATCGTAGCGGATTGGATGGATAAAGGAATCTCGTTACGAGACCAACCCTGCGGGGACTACCCCAAAGTCGTTCAAAGAAAGAAAGGAAGAAAGGAAGGGAGAGAGGAAGGGAGAGAGGCGCGTGCTTTCCACACGTGACCCTCTTCTTTCGCGTGGCCGTCACGAGAAAACCCTAGAGCTGGGGTGGTGTGGAGGGGGAAAAGAAAGAAAAATCTGAAAGGCATTGAATTGAATTGGAAACCCCAGAGCTAGCTAGTGTGCTTGCCAGGATTGCTGAAAAGTGAAGAGACGGAGAGAAGAGGGTTAAAAGAACTGAGAAATTGTGGAGGAGAGAGTCGTTGGGTGGATGAGAGAGATAAAAATGATTTGAGACTTAGATAGTAATAGATTTAGACTTTGTGCTTGCCAGGATAGGCGAAAGAAAGAGAAATTTTGAGAAACTCTCAGCTGATAGCGGAGATTTTGATGACAAGAGGAATGCGGTTGATGAAAAGGACAGAGCAGGGTTTGGAGAAAGTGGAGAGAGTCCAGTGACATCCAGCAAAGATAAAAAAGGCCCCCGAATTTGTTGGATGCCAGCCAAAGGGGCCGAAATAGAGAGTCGAGAGAAAATCGGGGAGCTGATACAAAATGCACCCGACAAAAATGAGATCAAGGCTTGAGAAAAAGATTTTTGTAAATCCTGGAGCGCACAGAATAAAATAAAACATTCATTTTTGAGGTTTGATGCGCGAAAAATTTTGAGTTTTTGAAAATTCGGAGTTTGGTGCTTTTTGAGGCGAGATTTTCATGAAAGAATATTTTTACAAAAATTTTTGCCATTTCTGGAATACAGCTCGTAATTTTGTAATGAAGAAAGGTTATTTTTAAATGTTTAAAATTTTTTTCCCAACCAGTTTCAAGTTTAGAAGAGAAAAATAGGAATAAAATGCGGTCAGGGGCCAAGCCACAAATTTATTTGCAAATCCTGGAAGGCACATCAACATTTGCCAGAGTTTTATCGTTTCAAATTTTAACCGTTTTTACGTAAGGGTATTGTCGCGTAGTCTCAAAACTTAAATTCACCAATTTCGCTAAATAAAACTAAAAAATAGCTGTTGTGTGTTCCAGTTTGACAAACCTTGTGCTCAAACAAAGCTGACAATCAAGTAAAACCCAAAGAAATTCAGCGATAACGAGTACAAGCCATTTCCTTTTGCCACAGGCAAACTAGCAATAAAGTAAAGAAATATTTGGCAATCCTGGATGTCAGTATAAAACTTTTTGTGCAAAGGGATTCCCGGAAAAAGAGGGAAAATTTTACCCCAACCAGTTTCAACCAGGTTTAGAAGGAAAAAATAGGAATAAAATGCGGTCAGGGCCAAACCACGAATTTATTTGCAAATCCTGGAAGGCACATCAACATTTGCCAGGGTTTTATCGTTTCAAATCAAGACTTTATGGATGGATGGATGGATGGTCAAGGTCTGAGGTACTGAGGATGGGGTATAAGACAAAAAAAGTTTAACACAATAAAATTGCAAAACAAAACGCTGGATATAGTCCGGTGTGCTCCAGATTACAAGTCTAAGCAATAATTTCTCGAATACAACCAAAATAGAACGTAAAGGTATTGTCACGTAGTCTCAAAACTTAAATTCATCAATTTCGCTAAATAAAACTAGAAATAGCTGTTGTGTGTTCCAGTTTGTCAAACCTTGTGCTCAAAAAGAGTCAAAAATCTAGTAAAACCCAAAGAAATTCAGCGATAACGAGTACAAGCCATTTCCTTTTGCCACAGGCAAACTAGAAATAAAGTAATGAAATATTTGGCAATCCTGGATGTCAGTATAAAACTTTTGTGGAAAGGGATTCCCGGAAATGATGTTGATCACCGGGCTGCTCTGCCAAATGATTTGCGTCATCGATGTCGTCCTTTTGGCTCTCTTTTGGCTCTTTTTTGCCACCTTCTCCCCTGGTCAATCGTTTTTTCCAATGTTTAAACTTTTGACCGTTTCCCTATCCCTATTTCCATTGAATTGGCGAATTTGAAAAAAGTTATGGGAAAGCTCAAAAAATGGTTCCTCATTGTAGGAGCTGGGTAAATGAACCGGAGAAAAATGGTCGTTTAATGGAAATTTTCTGTGAAAATGGGAACTGTGCGCTCCAGAATAGCTGTTAATCTTAGAAAATTTTGTTGTTGATGTACAATTGAACCAGAAATTCAGCCATTCTTGAATCAGCTGCATGAACTGGAGAAAAATGGTTGTTTAACGGAAATCTTTATTTCCAACAGCTTACATGCGCTCCAGATTAGGGAAATTTTGCAAAAATAATTCGAAAATACAGAAACAATCCAAGAAATTCACTCAAACTCGATATCGGATCAAGAAAAAACTTTTTTCGAAAAGATTTGTGGTTCTTGTTTGCAAAAATGCACTTTCTGGAATGCAGTTGAGGCGATGAGAATGATTGGAAATGGAGGGAAGAGGAAGAGGAAGGGGAAGAGGATGAAAAGGTTGAGGGAGTCGATGGGAGAATGGGATGAGTCAGATCGGCATTCCATGACGCCCACGCTTTAGCTGTTGGATGGATGACAATGCGAGCAATGAAAACACCAACCGTATGCCAAATTTTGCTTTTCGGACCTTGCGAAAGTCGAAAGAAAGTCGAAACTTCAGACACCAATTACAGTATACCAAAAGGTACTGTAACTAATTCAGAATGCCTGAACTCTTCTAAAAATCGACCTAAACTCTCGAATGACATCCAGAATAGGCTTTGGCTCAAAAAAATTCTGAAGTTCTTTTATGAAAAGACACCGTAATTGATACGATCGCTTATCAAGGCTATATCTTGTTAAAAACGTGAAAATTTTATTTATTCTCGAATAACTCGTTTCATCCTGGAAGTCAGCGTTTCTGAAAATTAAGAAATCGGAAATGAAAAGTGAAAATAAAATTTACAGAAAATATACAGAGATCGGTGAGGTAAGTGAAAAGTAAAACCACAACAAAAAGCACCCGGAAACCAAAAAACTAAGTAACATGACATCCAGCTTAACCAAAAATCAACAAAACAAAGCTAGTTTCGAAATTGGTTGCACAATGTTTTGTGAGTGAAAGAGATGGCGGCGATTTTTCGAAAACCTTACGAAATTTTCGAAAGAACGGTGATCGGGTTTGTAAATGTGGAGCGCACAAAGGCAGTTAGTGAAAGAAAAATGTCAAAATAACGAAAAGGCTCAAAATTGGTTTTGTTGATTGGAGTTTGGGGGGAAAAGGTGGTTCTAGACGGTGCTAATTACATCAAAAAAGATTTATTTAGTAACTATGGAGGTCACACAATAATCTAAACATCAAAAAACATTACCCTTTTCGCATTTTCATTTTCACAATAGGCTACAGTAGTAGTTTAGGTGAAAAGTTTATATATTCAGCTAATTGGTATCGGTTCGATTTTGAAAGTAAAAGCTGGAACGCACGGGAGATCTGGAAATGAAAAGCTTGCTTGAATAATCGATTTAAATGATCG